ATAAAGGTCATAAATGGTTTGCTAGTTTTAATAGTATTAAGCATGTTAAATCTTGGTGTCCATATTGCTTAAATAAATATGAAAATCTATGTCGCGAAGTCATAACTAACATTCTTGGCCCACCTTCCAGCATCCACCGACCAGATTTCTTGAAAATACCTGAGCACCCTCGAGGACTAGAACTCGACATCTATTATCCACAGTATGGATTTGCTATAGAAGTACAAGGTAAACAGCATGAGCAACATATAAAGTATTTTCACAAAGATCCGGAAGAATTTCAAAAGCAGTTGATGCGTGATCAGATCAAAAAAGAACTCTGCATAGAAAATTATATTGTTCTAAGATACGTTTGGTATTATGAGGACACATACATAGTAATTCCAAATCATCTTCGAGAGTTGGGTCTCATTGAATAAACTCAAAATTTTAAATGCTTTTGCGATCCACTTATTTTTTTTCGACTATAATTTTATTCATCAGGAATTACACGAAAAATCGAATAAAACACGCGCACCACATCATATACATGTTAAAAATGCAAAGAAATTGTTAATTCTTGCCTACGTAAGTTTGCAAAATGGTGTTTCTACACTAATGCCTCGGACTACACCGGTTTTTCACTTGTCTAAACTATACTAACCTATAAAAATGGTCATCAGTTATCTTAAACGAGACATGAAATAAATTAATATTAACTTTAATAAAGCCCTGCCGAAAATTTATGTTGTCATCGCGGTACTGGAACGAAAAAAGCGTATTTCATTGGAGTAATTTTTTCCGAATAGTAGCACTGCGCATTTCACATGACACCAAGCCACATTTCACACTTGGCTAAATACAGATTGTGCGCAACATTTTTTTAAAACATTCGTACCAAATTATAAAATGTCTCGATCAAAAGGTTTTTTATCCCCAGTACAAACTAATTTTAATGAAAATTTCTTACCTGCCAAGCTAAATTCGAATCAAAAAAGGTCTTCATTCTTTTTTTACTGAAAATTAATTTGTTGACATTTGTTTTTTAACTCTCAATTTTCGCAATGGCAGAAATATAGTCAAAATGTTATTAAATTGTTTCGTCCTGGGTACTGGAACTGGTTTCTCGATCCCCCTTAGCGAAAAAGTTTCTATTAAAAATGACGATTACTTCATAAAATCGTTAACCATCGATATCCTCAAGGAGTATATCTGGGAACGTAAAAATAATATTCTTAAAGACCTTACTAACGACGCTTCCAAACTGGAACTTTGGCTTGTTAACGTCGAAGAAGTTGTTGATGTTTTTAACGAAGACGATATTGTACAAAAACTTGAAGGAAATAAAATGAAACCTAATTTTCTGTTTAGCAACTATTTTAGTGGTCAACCTCCAGCGGGGAAAATCCATATCATCATACAACCGCCCGCCACCACTGGTAAGTGTCTCCTAATTTTAACTTCTCGAAAAAAGATAATTTCGCTATTCTGTTTTCTATATAATGTATTGATCACCTTTGTCTCTGCTTGCTTTGTACTAGATCAAGGGCTCACTGATATATCTCGTGACATTGCAAACCTTGGCTATCTGCCTCGACAAGGTACGTATAAGTTGGTATTCTTCAATAGCAGTGTTCTATTTCTAACTATCAGACTTTTTCAGGTGGCCTTGGTGGTACGATGCTACCTTCTGATCTGAAAGTGAGATCTACCAATGAAGGTGTTAATATTAATGATCCCGACGTCAGTCTAAGATTTGATATCATACCTCCTTTGATCAAAGATCTTATAGATAAAAAAGTCATACTTGTTCGGGCACCTCCCTTCTCTGGAAAAACGTCAGTAGCCCAAATTTTGGAGCACACCCTGGTTAACGCACCAGAATTTTCAAATTATAGAGTAATACGAATTTCATTACTTTGGGAAATAAATTTCAATTGGGATACATTTGGAGAGAAATGGAAGAGTGGAAGAGTATTGTTGGTATAAGTTGAAGAGTGGATAAAACAACGCAGGGTAATTCCATCAATTTTGATAGTAGATGAGGCTCAATTAATTTACGGAAAGGAGAAAAAAGTTGATGGCAATAATAAAGAATCTGCAGATCAATTCTGGATGGTTGTTAAAGGTCTCCTTCAGGAAGTAACACGTATAAACATTATAATGTTTGCGGCCTACGGATATAGAAGTTCTAACCATACAGGACTCACGACTCCTGTTACATTACCAGATCCAAATTATAAAAGCCTTATTGACATCAATTTTACCCCAAGCGAGTTAAAAAAATATGTTGAGAAGTTCAGTAGTAATTACTTCAAAAATTTAGATCAACAAAGTGTCTCGAAATTATATAAATATATCCTAGTGGTAACAGAAGGACACGCGGGTTTGGTTCGTCACATCTTGACGTCTGCAGAAAATGCAATGAAGAAGAGAATTGATACTAGTCGCCTAACCTGGGAAGAAATATTTAAGTACTTGAATTCAGAAAGTTTCGATTCATCTATCTATAACAACTGCCGTGCTGTACCAAAGGTTTCTGCACTTTCGAATGAGCAAATAAGCTTATGTGAGGATATTTACTTAAAGGGAAAAATTCGTTATGTAGACTCTAATGAGGATTCTGTGTATTTAGTCAAATCTGGAATTTTTATTATTAAGAATGATATAGATGGTACATATCTAACTTTTGTAGCACCTCTTCTTAAGCGGTCATTTTTTCAGCAAAATTACGGAGTTCACAATAGTACTGATAATACTCCTACAGATTTGTATCATTTTATCGTGAAGATTTTCACAGCAATGTGTAATAAACTAAGTAGGGAAATTTTAAGAAAAACGCTTGGATTTGGATCTGATGGAAGAATCCTGGAACAAACATGGCAGAAGGAATTTTATAGGATCGGTACACAGGTATTGGGGAAGGATCATTTTTTGTCGTGTGATGCGGGTTCAGTTTTTGGATGTGATGGCAAAATAGATTACTATGTGGACAAGTTAGACTGGGCAATAGAACTCTTGAGAGATGGTGATGATATGGCTGAGCACGAAGAAAGATTTGAACCTTTAAGTGGAGAATATAAGGAGATCGTAAAATATGCAGAAAGTATAGCTATTATTGATATTCGTAGTATAGGTAGAATTGATACTCGCAGTGAAGCAAAAAAGGTTCGAAAAATGCGTGAGCATTTCATATATGTGTCATGCTCCAAGGGTTTTGATGCATTTAAAATAGAGAGTTTGGGTAAAGAAATCGTAACTATTAATTTTCAAGATTAGTTTATCTTTCAATGTTAATGTAACACATTTTTTCTTTAACGTAAAATGCAAAATATTAATAAAAAAACTTTGATGCTAAAGAAAAAAGTACTAGAGAATAAGTTACATGTAATGCCACACATGTTTAAAAATTAAAGTTTTAGTAAAAGTACATTAGAGATTGGAGTAGCGGATATTTCAAGGGAGGAATAAAGCATAAAATATGCCTGCCCACCCCTAGACGTCTTTTACATAGTAAAAGTAATGGCAGTTCCTTCCCACTACTCTGCATTACTATCTAAATTATTATTAATTTTGCTATCTACCCATCTCATAATTGACATTACTATTCTAAACTTTGGATCCCCTCCACCATAATAAAAATTTTTACAGTTTCTTTTCCAACCTTTTTTCCAGTAAGTTTACGAATTTCACGTCTAACTGTTTCAAACGCATAATCTAAAGTTTCCCCTTCTTCCTTATTCGAATCAAAAACTTGCTTAAAACAGTTCCTATTTTCTTCAAGAGATGAATCAGATAATCAACTAGAAGAACTTTTGTTGGATCATTTCATTTTGGAGAGCTTCAATAGAGGTCTTGATCAAAGTGAATTCAGATGAAATATTGCCAAAATCATTACGGTAGGCTTCTTTAATATTATCAAGTCTTGTGGTCACATTATTGACTATCGATAAAATTTTCTGCACCTCAGAGGCGTAGCCAGCATCACGAGAATTGATCTTTTTGATTTCTGCGGTAAGTTTATTATTATTTTTACCGAGCTTCGCAGTGAAAGTAGAATTAATTTCAGAAATATGTGCAAAAAGTTCGTTAGCGATTTTAGTATTGATTTTCGTGGTAAGTTTACTGAAGATGTTTTTGATCTCCCGTGTATTATTTTTTGTATCAAGATCATTGATGATTCTAGTGACACGTGCAGAAGTTCATCAGAAATTTTTTGTTTGAGATTTGACCACATGGTAGCGATCCCTATGATTAACACTAGATCAATGAACAAAAAACAGCGGTTAAGGTCAAAAAAGGCATGACTCCAGAAGAGTTGAGCAATGACAAACTGAACATGATTAGGTAAATTGATGCGTAGTAATTTTATTAAGAGATTATTGGTGGATCAAGTTTTTTTAGATATTAATGATTGATTTTTTTTTAATATGCAATTCTCTTGCGTAAATGCGCTGAGAAAAAGGTTTATTTTATACTGTATGCCTACTACACGTGAAAAAAGAATTTAACCTGATTTAAATAGATCAAATAAAAAATTACGTTGCTTTATTATATGTACTTGTTATTATTACATTTTTTCACCTAAAGCAATAATAATGGCCTGGATCCTGTCTAATAATAACAAATTTTCCTCCCTGAATTTGGACGCATTTAACAATAGTGCTTAAAATAAAATCTGACAAATTACGGTTTTATGACAACTTGATATAATACTAATGAAGCAATGCCGTATCTCAAAATTTTTCATTTATTTCTAAGATCTCTTGCGAAACAGAAGATTGCATGTGGTGTATCTTTGTTTGAGTTCACAACCCCTATTTCAATTGTAATCACAAAAAATCAGAATATTTGTTCATCATGGATCGAGATCTGTAGATGACAAATCACACATGTAATTCCTATTCAAAAACGGATTAATGTCTGAGTAACCTGTACACGTAATTTAAATGCGCTAACATCAGTAGAATAATAAAAAATTACCGTTTACCTGAGGATTTGTAAATCATTGATTCTAATCAGCTCTATTTCTATTTTTGAATTTCTTTTTAACGACATCCTATCTGCAAAATGTAAATCAGGATGTGTTTTTTTATTAGTAATTCAGAACTGCGTAATAAGTGAGATAGAACATACCAGAACTTTGAAGAAAGTTCATCAGTATGTCAACACAAAAATATTGCTCTTGGCCGGGGTTATTAATAGATCCTCTAAAAATAACAACTGCGAATGCTGGTGATGTACTACTGCGTATAGAATATTCTGCGAAATCACATGCGTATACTACAGGAAAGAATAGATGACGCTTTACTGTGCACGATATCTAAGCTCCCCATGTGATTCGAAAAAATAATGTGAATATATATGGCAATCTTACGTCACACAACCTATTCATTGGCAAGAATTTTTCTGACAATGCACTGCGCATTTCAGGTAACAGTCTACATGACGGAGTTTTCGTCTATGCTTTTATAGATACTATTGGGATGTTAGGATTAAGAGCTTCCCTGCATTCGAGCCAATAAGTTCATTCTCTGTAATATTCATCAGCACCCTATTCACCTCTTATATCATTCTATATACTTTTTTCTTTATGCTTTCCATTACATAATGGACAGAGTGTTGAACTATTAAGATTAAATCGCTCACCACGTTCACTACTATTGCTTAAAGATAGAGAAGGAAAACGCTCTAACACTAACTTAATGATATGTTTTTATTTCTCTTCAGAGATTTCAGGCAAGATAGAAATCGGGTGTCTGGATTTCTTAGATGATCCTATCTTACTGGAAAAATTAGAATCATAAGATGAAGGAATAGGTGCGGTTGGTACGCTTACCTCAGCTGATTTGGGTGTAGTTGATGCATTTATTTTAGGCAAATTTTTTCCAGGACCCGCAGTCTTAGAAATTTCAGTCACATGATTTGAATGACCTGAGGTTAGCGAAATTTCAGTCATATGATTTGGACGACCTGAGGTTGACAAAATTTCTGGATCAGTAAAAGAATTGGAATTATTAGAAAAGTGATCTATAACCTTTTAGAGATCTGTATTGGTAATTTTTGAGATAGAATTTGCGCTATAAGTTTTGATATACCGGACTTTATCTATCCTTATTTTTTCGAATAAATCAAAGATTTTATAGCTTTCTAAGTTTGCTTACATAAATTATCTCGCTTAGTATCAGGAAGTTGTTTGACAATAAATCGTAAATCTGCCCTTTTGCCTTTTTCTCGCTAACTCTATCACTGGCCATGATATCTTTAACCATAATTAAAAATTCTTTAGCATACAAATACCAGCTTAATATCTCCTCTTGATTAGCTTTCATTGCGAGACCTTCCGCATCGCTGGCTCTTTGATATAAACAAATGATATTTTCCTTACCTGAGATAAACGAAATTTCTGGAGGGTTGAGAGACAATGCACATGTGGAATCATTCTCCTGAATAGATGAAGGAGTAGCGGATTCATCAAAGTTGTGAGAAATTTCTTGAATTAATCCCTGCTCATTTTTTGTACTCATGAGTTTTCCAGGAGAAGAGATATTAGAGGCAGTATCAGATATTTTTTGTGATGATACTTGATCTTGTCTGCTTTATTAAGTTTCTTTTCCTTATTATGTTTCCTAATATCATTGCTAATGCTTTTCTTATGGACTTCAACCAAGAAAGCATCTGTCTCCATATCCTTTGATGTTTTCTCTTAATCTGGTACCTTTGGTATCTTTTCAATCTGCTCTGATAGTTTTAACTGACTATGAACTTCATGAACAGGCAACGAATCAGATACAACAACAGCTGATACCTCTGATAATACTTCTTTATTTCTCTTCAGGTCATTCTGTGGCTGTTCATCTACTATCAGGGGACTCTGTTCCAATATCGCAAGTCTGACTTCAAGCTCTTCGACTTTAAACTTGAGTTCAGTATTTTCAGCTTCACGTTTGGTATTCTCCTCAATAATCTGTCTCAACTTCACATTCTCAGCCTCAAGCTCGGTGGTACGCTGTCTCAATAATTCAAGTTTAGATGACATGATTGTAGTATATTTTATACACGAAGGGAATTGTTCAATATATGTAATGATACTCGCATAGATACAAGGAAAAAAAAATCACATGATTTCAGTAACCTCAGGTCGTCCAAATTTTGCCAAGAAAAAAAAATTTATTAATATGCGAAAAAATAAATACAAAGATTGGAATGTAGCCTGAGAATACATATTATTTTTTAATAAACTTTTGATCCTAGCCCTCTTACTAGCCGGAGAACTATCTACACTAACACGATCCTTCAGCAACCCAACAATAATACCAATTATTCTTTTTACGTTGCTTCGTAGTAATTCAGGATTATTTTTAACCGCGGACTTCATAAGATTAATCTGATGCTCGCTACCGCTTGTGGAGAAGATGCCATCCGGAGTATATATTATAAAATGCCACTCCATACCTGTGATCATAATACCATAGATATAGTCGAAATAGTCATTCCCAAACGCTTGATCTGCGGTTCGTTTTTTCTTATTTGTTTGAAACACACTTTCAAGTTGCGCCAGATTCTAAGAAATAAACCATCATTATTATCTCTAATATGTTAGAAAGTAAAAATGTGGATAGTAGACCTACCTGCGCATAACCAATCTTAATATTTCATGGTTTCTCTTCAGTGATGCAAAGGAGGTCTTCTAGACTTTTGATTGCGTAGTCTACTCAGCCTGTTGCATCCTTACCAGAAACGTCTTTTTGAAACACTATAAATATATCTTGAGAGGTAAGTTTTTTAGCTATAGTGATGGATGCATGGAGAATCGATGAAATAAATTCACAGCGCGTTGCCTCGTTAGCATCGGTCATAGTTTCCATATTCAAAAGTTTCAAGATTATATCCTCCATACAGTGATCGAGAGCCTTATCATCGTCATTAATCTCCTCAAAGACTGTAGAGAAAAAATAAGCAGTTATTACTATATTTATGATGGACCATTCTAGAGCGATGTAAAATAAAAATAATCACTCACTGGGAGTAAATTGCTTAATGCTTGTTATGTCTTCCCCGTTGACCTTATTTCTACGTAACATTTCCTTCAAGTCATCAAGAGTTTTAAGTGAGAAATAGTTTCGTAATTTCTGGCCAAGACTCTCAATAAATTCTGTAAGTCTTTTTGCAAGACCAGCTTTCATGCCATAACTTTGAAATTTCTCTTTACTTGTATTAAGAAAATTACTACCAGCTATTTCTTTCTTACGTAAAATTTTAAAGTGGGACTCCTCTAACTTCAAGTTTTTCTTCATCAAATATTCGATAAGCTCCTCTGTATTAAAATCCTTAATAACGTCTGACATCATTCTAGTGGAAATTTCTTCCATTATTGAGGCGGGTGAAACGGATGAAAAAGCTTGTGAAGACATAGTTTTTATATATGTGTGTTTGTACTTGCGAAAAAATATGCACTTGATACAGGTAAAGCTAGTTTATGAATATAAAGTATTTTTGTTTCTGACGCTTGGAGAGAAATGATAGATTTTTTTATATCGATTCATAACTGATAATGCTTTTGCCCAATATATATGCAATTAAAATGTAGTACAGAATTATCAGACGATTATATTACATCATTACACGTGACATTTTTCAAGATTTATGACAAGAACATAATATATGCTTTATTTAAAAAATAAAAAAACCTTGCCAGAAAGGTCTCAGAGGGACCAAGCTGGCCTACATTACATAAAAATTGCAAATATATCGCTACATGATACAGAAAATTATTTGGGGTATACAGTGAAATGGAAGTGCTCTGCTTTAGGTTCCTCATCAAAAATATCAATAAAATCCTCATTTATGGCCATTTCCTTTTAATAGTGTTTTCAGCTTGAATTATACAAATATTGAGAGGGATTTGATTAAATGGTGCTCCCAATCTGCTTTGAATTGCAGTCTCAAGATCACTATAATTACCACTTCTGCGAATTGTAATCGATTGCATTACTTTAATGCATGGAATATTCATAAGTTTTTCTATAGGTACGATAAAACAATTGAGAGTAATGTTGTTATCATCTATTTCGACTCCTAAATGCAAGAATCTAATAGTGAGAAAATTGCTTGACCCACTCGCATTAAAGAACATATACTGTACATACCTTATTTTGCGTTATTTTTTACAGAAATGTTTTTTGCGAAAGTTGGCTAAACTTTCACATACCCCTACATTGCTTTATATCTTGCTGAAAAAAAGTTAAGAAGGTATGAGTCATAATTAGTATTATCATCTGGTGCTAAGAGTTCTATGAAAGCACATGCAAACAGAATTTTCAAACCTTTTCACATGTAGATCTACCCTGTAAGACATATAGTTAGTTTTACGCCTGGCGATCTCAAAATTCTAAAGTTCTCAGCCTTTTATAACATATGCTTTTGCCTTCAGTACTTACTTTTACGGTAGGTCCTGTGTTGCAACTAGACGCTCTTTCACATTTTTCTCATGTTTGTTCGGGAAAAAAATAGAGGTACTAGTTAGCATGTATATTTTCTTTTCGTTATATGCGAAAAAATAATGTTTCACAGACTGACCGTGTGATCGGCCATTACATCATTGCACAGAAATCTATGACTCAGCAAATTCTTCCGAGCTGGTGATCACTGCTTCAGACTAGTTAGATCGGTAGAGCACTCTGCGTTAAAATCCAAATTGTTAATATCTATCTGACCAAAAATTTCATTTAATGCGGAAATAGGATCAGAATTAAAAGTTTGACCATAGATTATTAGACGAGACACATCATCCTCTGAATCAGTTTTAAGATCGGAAGAATCAGTTTCAGAGCTAGATGACTCTGTTTCAATGTATTCTGAATCATAATATTCACTTAGATCAAGATTTCTTATAACTTTATGATGTTTGAAAAATTTGGTTATTATGATTTCTCTATCTGAATCCGTTGTAGTGAAATCAGGAAATAATAGCTCATAAAATGTATGCAATAAAAGAGGTAATTCCCAAAAATTTTTTCTACAGTGATATTGTCTTTTTTCCCTTTCTTGCTTTTCAATCTCTTTAGGTTTATTAATGTATATTGGTGAGTTTTAATGTCTATCAACAGCATATCCTGTATGCATTAGCCATACATTTTCTAAAACTAAATCGTATTCAGCTTATCAACAACTACAAAATTTGCTGTATCTATTTTGCGTATGCAAGGTACTATCTCATCAAAGATATTTGGCAAAGTGACAGAAACTTCTTCTCTATCAATCCAACCCCTCCTCATCACTTTCTTGCTAGCATTTGTTGCGTCAATGCCAAGGTCTCTTACTGCAGGATATCTTGACCCATATTCTCTAGAAATATATAAATCCATTTTTTTGGCAAGCGCCTTACTAATACTACCATGAAAGGATCTAGGGTCAATCAGTGCTTTAACAGTTACTTTAGCATAAGTGAATATACAATCCACTATTAATCTTTTGCAAATTTCTCGAAGCGCCTTATCTTTCCATATATTATTTATACTGCAACATTTTTTAAGTTTCTGTATCGATAAATTCTTTAAAATAAATGGTATTAGTTCAGACGCAAGCTGATCAAGTAAATTAGCTGTATGCATTTTATATGATTCAGAGATTTTCTCGTTAAATATATTACTTTATTATAGCAATCATGGCGAACATTAATACTAAAATGCTTGCTCAGTTTTAATGGAGTGCTTCATATAAGAAGAAGGATATAATAGCTATTCAGAAAAAACTCAGTATTGGTGGGGTCCTGAAGGAACCTGGTAATGCAAATAAATTAGAAGTGCCTTCAGATTCTGAGCTTATGAGAAAAACACTTGCTGATTCATACGAATTGTTGTTAGAATTGATAGGAGATTTAATACCGATACAGGAGAATCTTAACATTGATGGTAATCCTGTTTTAGAAGTGGAATATCAAAGCAATGAAGCTTCTACAGATATTTCACTTGGAGAAATATTTAATTTGCTTATGTATTTGGAAGAGGATATAATAGCAATTCAGGAAGAACTCAATATTGTTGGTTATACTAATCAAGAAATGGCAGAAGAGGCTGATAAAACTGCAAGAGAATATC